CTTTTATTAATGTATTGTATCACATTGATTGGTTTACAGATATTGAACCAACCTTGCAGCCCTGGAATAAATCCCACTTGGTCGTGGTGAATAATCCTTTTAATGTACCGATGGATCCTATTGGCTAGTCTTTTGGTGAGAATTTTCGCATTTGTGTTCATCAAGGATATTCGTCTATAATTCTCTTTTTTGATGGGATCCTTGTCTGGTTTTGGGATGAAGGTGATATTGGCCTCATAAAATGAGTTTGGTAGTTTTCCTTCCACTTCTGTTTTTTGGAACAGTTTCAGGAGAATAGGATTTAATTCTTTTTTCAATGTTTGATAGAATTCCCCTGAGAAGCCATCTGGCCCTGGGCTTTTGTTTGGAGATTTTTGATGACTATTTCAATCTCCTTACTGGTTATGGGTCTGTTCAGGTTTTCTGTTTCTTCCTGGTCCGGTTTTGGTAGTTTATATGTCTCTAGGAATGCATCCATTTCTTCCACATTGTCGAATTTGTTGGCGTAAAGTTGCTCATAGTATGTTCTTATAATTGTTTGTATTTCTTTGTTGTTCGTTGTGATCTCTCCTCTTTCATTCATGATTTTATTTATTTGGGTCGTTTCTCTTTTCTGAGAAGTCTGGCCAGGGGTTTATCAATCTTATTAATTCTTTTAAAGAACCACCTCCTAGTTTCGTTGATTTTTTTCTTTTTTCTTTTTTCTTTCTTTCTTTGGTTTCTATTTCATTGATTTCTGCTCTGATCTTTATTATTTCTCTTCTCCTGCTGGGTTTAGACTTTCTTTGTTGTTCTTTCTACAACTCCTTTAGGTGTAGGGTTAGGATGTGTATTTGAGACCTTTCTTGTTTCTTGAGAAAAGCTTGTATCACTATATATTTTCCTCTCAGGACTGCCTTCGCTGTATCCCACAGATTTTGAACCATTGTGTTTTCATTAGCATTCATTTCCATGATTTTTTTCAATTCTTCTTTAATTTCCTGGTTGACCCATTCATTCTTTAGAAGGATGCTGTTTAGTCTCCATGTATTTGGGTTCTTTCCAAATTTCCTCTTGTGATTGAGTTCTAGCTTCAGAGCATTGTGGCCTGAAAATGTTCAGAGAATGATCCCAGTCTTTTGATACTGGTTGAGACCTTATTTATGACCTAGGATGTGATCAATTCTGGAGAATGTTCCATGTACACTAGAGAAGAATGTGTCTTTTGTTCTTTGGGATGGAATGTTCTGAATATATCTGTGATGTCCATCTGGTCCAGTGTGTCATTTAAGGCCTTTATTTCCTTGTTGATCTTTTGCTTGGATGGTCTGTCCATTTCAGTGAGGGGGGTGTTAATGTCCCCTACCATTATTGTATTATTGTCAATGTGTTTCTTTGATTTTGTTATTAATTGGTCTATATAGTTGGCTGCTCCCATGTTAAGAGCATAGATATTTAAAATTGTTAGCTCTTCTTTTTGGACGACCCTTTGAGTATGATATAGTGTCCTTCCTCATCTCTTATTAGAGTCTTTGGCTTAAAATCTAATTGATCTAAGGATTGCCACCCCAGCTTTCTTCTGCTGTCCATTAGCATGGTAAATCATTTTCCACCCCCCTCACTTTAAATCTGGAGGAGTCTTCGGTCCTAAAATGGGTTTCTTATAGGCAGCATATTGATGGGTTTTGTTTTTTTATCCATTCTGATACCCTTTGTCTTTTGATTGGGGCATTTAGCCCATTTACATTCAGGGTAACTATTGAGAGATATGAATTTAATGCCATTGTATTGCCTGTAAGGTGACTGTTACTGTATATTGTCTCTGTTCCTTTCTGATCTACTACTTTTAGGGTCTCTCTTTGCTTAGAGGACCCCTTTCAATATTTCCTGTAGAGCTGGTTTGGTGTTTGCAAATTCTTTTAGTTTTTGTTTGTCCTGGAAGCTTTTTATCTCTCCTTCTATTTTCAGTGATAGCCTAGCTGGATATAGTATTCTTGGCTGCATGTTTTTCTCATTTAGTGCTCTGAATATATCATGCCAGTTCTTTCTGGCCTGCCAGGTCTGTGGATAAGTCTGCTGCCAATCTAATATTTTTACCATTGTAAGTTACAGACTTCTTTTCCCGGGCTGCTTTCAGAATTTTCTCTTTGTCGCTAGGACTTGTAAATTTTACTATTAGGTGACGGGGTGTGGACCCATTCTCATTGATTTTGATTTTGAAGGGATTCTCTGAACCTCCTCAATTTTGATGCTTGTTCCCTTTGCCATATTAGGGAAATTCTCTCCAATAATTCTCTCTAATATACCTTCTGCTCCCCTCTCTCTTTCTTCTTTTTCTGGAATCCTAATTATTCTAACGTTGTTTCTTCTTATGGTGTCACTTATCTCTTGAATTCTCCCCTCATGGTCCAGTATTTGTTTGTCTCTCTTTTGCTCAGTTTCTTTATTCTCTGTCATTTGGCCTTCTATATCACTAATTCTTTCCTCTGCCTCATTGATCCTAGCAGTAAGAGCCTCCATTTTTTATTGCACCTCATTAATAATTTTTTTTTATTTCAACTTGGTTAGATTTTAGTTCTTTTATTTCTCCAGAAAGGGCTTTTATCTCTCTGGAGAGGGTTAGTAGAGAATCTAATATCTTCCATGTCTTTTTTGAGCCCAGCTAGAACCTTGAGAATCATCATTCTGAACTCTAGATCTGACATATTACCAATGTCCCTATTGATTAGGTCCCTAGCCTTCAGTACTGCCTCTTGTTCTTTTTTTTTGTGGTGAGTTTTCCCACCTTGTCATTTTGTCCAGATAAGAATATATGAACGGGCAAATAAAATACTAATAATGTGGCAAACACCCCAGGAAAATGTGCTTTAACCAGATCAAAATAGACCCCAAATTGTGGGGGGAGGAAGGGGATAAACAGAAGTTCAGAAAAAGAAAAAAAAATTAGAAAAAGAAAACAAATAATGAAAAAATATAAAAAAGAAAAAATATATATATTATAAATATATAATATAAAATATATATTATATATACATAATTATATATTAATTACACATATTAATTATATTAATATATTATATATTAATATATTATGTATATATTAATTATATATTATGTATATATTATATTACATATATATAATATTATATATATATATATTAGAATGGTGACTAGAACAGGGTTACCCACTTAATTTGGGGAGTATTCTGGTCTCTTAGAAGAAACTACCTCCCCAAATTTTAAAGAATGTGAGCACCTTGAGTCTGGCGCCTTAGACCACTCAGCCATCCTGACACCCTAAAATTTTAAGGAATGAAAAACATTTAAGGGTAAATACAATGAAGGGATGGAATATGCCTATAAAGATGAAAAATATATGTATTTTTTTTAATTTCTAAAAATGGAGTTGATAAACTAAGTTGGTTGGGAGAATGAAGAAAAAGAAAGTGGAGAGAATTTGCTCGGGCTGGAGATTAGAACAAGCCCGGAGCTAGATTTAGGGTATATTTTGATCTATTAAAAGAAGTTGTACCCCAAATTTTTTAGAAGAAAAAACCCTATGTGTATACAAAAATAAAGTTAGATACAATGAAGGATAAAATATGAGTATAATAATGAAGGTTCAAAAAAGATTATTATTAATTTTTTTTAATGAATGGTATTTTTAAGATAAACTAGTTTAAAAACATTAAAAGAGGAAAGGGTAAAAGTTAAAAAAAGATTTTGCAGAAGAAAAAATATAAAATTAAAAAAAATTTAGAAGAAAAAATATAAAATTAAAAAAAAAATTAACTGCAAAACTAAAGAATCAGGGGGAGAAAGCCATGAATTCCATGCTTTGCTTTCTCTTTGCTTTCTCCTCCTCTGGAATTCCACTGTTCTCCTTGGCAAGTGAACTTGGTCTTGGCTGGATTTCTTGTTGATCTTCTGGGGAGGGGGCCTGTTGTAGTGATTCTCAAGTGTCTTTGCCCGAGGCAGAATTGCACCGCCCTTACCAGGGTCCAGGCTAAGTAATCCACTCAGGTTCGCTTTTGGGAGCTTTTGTTCCCCGAGCTTTCCGTAGAGTTCCGGAGGACGGGAATGAAAATGGTGGCCTCCCAATCTCTGGCCCAGAGGAGCCGAGAGCTCAGGGCCCCACTCCTCAGTGTGCCCTCAGAGAAAAGTGCTCACTCACTCCCATCTCCCTGGCCTCCAGCTGTGCTTCGAGCTCAGCCAGACTGTGACCAAGAGTCTCTTGTCTCTGGCACACAGCTCCACCTGGAGTCTCCGAACCCCACAGATCCCTGAGCTCCCCCAGGGGATGTCTCCCCGGATCTTGTGGGGACCTCACTCACAGAGCCTGTGCCATGGATTACGGTTAAGGTAACCCCGAGTTGAGAGCTCACTCCTCAGCTTTGTTGCTGTAAGTGCTTCCCCGCTCTAAAGCTGCGAGCTCTGCAACACTCAGACACCCCCGATCCTTCTGTGACCCTGCGGGACCTGGGGCCACGCTCACCCCGCATGGGCTTCACCCCGGTTTAGCGTCCTGAGTGATGTCCCTCAGTGGAGCAGACTTTTAAAAGTCCTGATTTTGTGCTCCGTTGTTCCGCTGCTAGCCGGGAGCCGGCCCCTCCCCACGCGGTCTATCTTCCCATTGCTTTGGATTCACTTCTCCGCTGGTCCTACCTTTCAGAAAGTGGTCGATTTTCTGTTTCTAGAATTGTTGCTCTTCTTCTCTTCTATCTCCTTTTAGATTTGTAGGTGTTTACAGTGGTTTGATAAGCTATCTAGCTGATCTCTGGCTACCTGATGTCATCTCAGCCTGCTACTTCTCTGCCATCTTGACTCCTCCTAAATGTAACTTTTATGTGTTTTGGGAATCCAAAATTATTTAACTCACTTTTTTTTTATGATATTTGTTTTACTCTGGTGGTCTGGAACTGAACTGGCAGTATCTTGGAGGCATGCCTATACCAATATAAACAAGCCAGACCAGTTTGTTATGATAAACATAAACCCAGCACCTTTTTTCTTTTTTTTAGGCCTGCATGCTTGTTTTTCAACCAGATCTCAGTATCATAGTCCCTGACCTAGCTGAAAACAGTGAAGTGATTATTTGTCTTGATTGCTCCAATTCCATGGAAGGTGCAACATTCTTGCATGCCAAGCAAATTGCCTTATATGCACTGTCCTTGATGGGTAAGAAGCAAAAGATAAACATTGTCAAGTTTGGCACAGGTGAGTATTCTTTGGCCCCCATCAAAGTGTGCTTCCTCCTGAATATTGACATGAGCAGAGCTATTGGCTTTTGGTACCTGACCTCATCTGTGGAGTAAGAGGTAGCATAGCATGGAGTTCAAGAACCAGAACACTCAAGCTAGGTCCCTAGATTCAGATTCCAGTTCTACCACTTACTAGCTCTAGATGTCACCTTGGGCAAATTACTTGAACCTTTCCTCATCTGTAATATAAGAGTAATAGTTCCTGCTTAATAGTGTTGTTGTAAGGACTGAGCTGATGCACATAAAGGATTTAAAACAATTCCTGTTAGAGAGCAAGCACTGTATGAGTATTACTAGGTTACCACCAGCTGAACCAAATGCAAGACCCTTGGTTTGACATGTATGAGGGTCCCAAGGATATGGACAGAACACTTAAAGTCATCACAGTAGCAGAAAAATCTAGCTTTCTTTCAGGAAGCATCAGATCAGCACTTTTAGAGGAAAAGTAACACCATCCTCCAGGTTTGGGCCTGAGGACATCTCAGCCACAGAAGAAGGTATTTTAGGAATAAGAGAAGGAACACAGAGTGGAGTGAGGGGATAGTCATGTCCTATTGATTCTTCTGTGCCATTCAGCAGAAGACTGAGCCCTTTTATGAAGGAGCTAGCACCTGTTACTGCTGGGGGCAGAGATCAAGTAAGGCTGGAGTACCAAGGGCCTGCAAGGAGAATGTGTCCCTCTGGCGGCCAGGCGGCCTATGCTGTTGGGACACCCCACATCTTTCTTTGCATGAGCCGTGTTCTACAGAACAGAGGTCTACACATGTGATTTTACTCAGAACATTTTACACAGTAAAGTGCATAGTTTCAATGCACTACAGTTAATTATTTGAAGGAATACTGTGGTGAAGTTTTTTTTTTTTTTATGTTAAACTGTCAAACATGATTGTTAGTGGTCAATAAAGTGAGTATTTAATAGCTGCACCTCAATGCCAATCTTATCACACAGGTTACAAGGAATTATTTTCATATCCTAAGTCCATCACAAGCAATAATATGCCAACAGAGTTCATTATGGTAAGTAAAAGAACTGTCCTTCATCTCTTGGGTCTTTTCCTATCAAGTTTTAATGGTACTATCTGGACTTATTCCCTCCAACACCAATAATAGAACACCCCTAGTCCTTCAGTTTTTGTATGTCGGTGGGGCTCTTTTGTTATTATTACAGTAATAATAATATAATATTGTATGGTGATTAATATATAATTAATATTACATATTAATATATAATATGACCATTACTATAATATTAATGAGATGAACTCATTTTAAAAATTAGAAATTAAGAAAGGTAGAAAGAAAAAATCACCCACACTTCTACCACCTAAATATAACCAGCATTAACGGTGTTAGAATGTTTTCCTCTATTCCTTTTTTTTTCTTTTTCTTAAAATGACACAAGCTGAGAATGACTAGTTGCCACCTTAGTCCAGGCCGGCAAACCCAGGAAAACCATAAAAAAAATCAAAGAAGTCAACCAATAATATTATAGTTACTGTGTGATATGAGATAAATTAACAGGATATAAGCATAGTTGTTCCACAAATGTATAATTTAAAAAAATATCTTTTCAGTGATGATATCTCCAAACCATCTTTGAGACATGCCTCAGTAAATGATTATAGTAAATGGTGGAATGAATAACCTTTCACTTCATTTCCTCCAGTCTGCTACACCTACCATGGGAAATACGGACTTCTGGAAAACACTCCGATATTTAAATCTATTGTACCCTTCTCAAGGCTTACGGAGCATTCTCCTTATATCGGATGGACACCTCCAGAATGAGAGTCTGACATTGCAGCTTGTGAAAAGAAATGTCCAGCACACGAGGCTGTTCTCCTGCGGTATCGGGTAAGTGCAGGAGATCTAGTCACACAGTGAGCACTGTGGGGGGGAAAGGCAGCCTGTGGGTAGGTTTTCTCTGTTGGCCTGCACGTGATTTTTAGTTTTGAAGTTGCTAACAGTATATGGAAGCAGTTTAGCATAGAGTTGCAGAGCTCTGGGCAAGTTGTTTAACTTCTTATCTGTAAAATGAAGATGATAATGAAAATGTCATAGGTTTAATAGGTTTGCTCTGAGAATTTAATGAGCTCATATATAAAAAGTAGTGAAGTCCCAGCCCTACAGTGGGGTGAGAAAAATGTGGTCTAAGGAAGACCCACACGCCGGCATTGCTTGGGGGGATAAAAAAGTACTTAAGAACACCTGGCAAGCACCAAGTCAATGTTAGTTTTGTTTTGTATAAAAATCCAGATTTCCAACCTATCCTGAGAAGCCTGAAGACCTGGCAATGCCAGGCGCACACCCTCCCCTGGCAGTTCCTGACCAGGGCTGAGGGCCACTGCTTTGGGCAAGCCCCCAACCAGACTCTTTGCTCCTTCACACCTTTCTGGTGGCTGGGCACATCTGCATTTACTAACCCTGTGATGGAAATAGGATCTTTCTCTTGGGAGGCTAGGCCCCCATGATTGTTGGAATGAACCCCCTTCCCAGTTATAGTTAGCTTTTTTTGGATTGAACCAAGGCATTTGGTGTAAACATAAGGAAAGCACCAAACAGAAGGGGCCAGACTGATGTTTGCAAAGAGCATGACTGCACCCTCATCTCCCTGGATTTTCCCCCACATAGTCACCAGTCTGGCAAGTGATAACCAGGCCTCCCTATTCTGAGGCAGTGCATGGAGTAGGACCACCCCTCAACATGGGGGTAGGAGTGGAGGTGGGAGTGGTGGCTGTTGGTGTTTCCTGGGGCCACTGTGCTGTCCTAGGATGGAGTCCTCCTCAGGCCTCAGCTATGAACTATAGGAGCTGGGACCCTCCACACCCCTTGAGGGCCCTCCCTGCTGTACCCAAGCCAAACGTGCCTGCCCAGAGGGTTCTTTCCCTCTTTCTGCCCCTCCTCAGTCACAGCTCCTAGTATTTTTCTCTAATCTGAGGACGACAGACCAACCAGGAAACTTATCCACCCCACAGTGGACTCCCCAGGAATTGCTCCTAAATAGGCTTTACCTGATTAATTTGTGGACATGGGGTGGCTGGCCCTACCCTGCTGCAGGGACATGTCCCCCTCCCTGCCTGAGTCAGTGCCCTGTTCTATCTTCCCGGACACAGCAACACCCCCCTTTCTCCCCTGACCAGGTATCAGAGGCTATGCCAGGGTTATGTCTCAGAGCTCATTGCAGAAGATACTGGACCCTGTTGATTCCTTCTTTGCTGAGAGCTAGTCATGAGACAGACATTCCTTGGTGCTGGACCACAGTGCTATGTATAGGGAGATAGGCAGCAAGTAATCCAATAAGCTGAAAGGGGAGATGGGTTTTCCTAAGTGCCACGAAGGAAATAAGGAGGGGCTGCTGTGATGGGGAAAATGGGCATGAACCTTTTTGGGAAATGACGTGTGCTTTGACACAACCCAGCCTGAGAGAGCTGGAATTTTTACTGATTTTCTTTCAGGTTTTAGGATCTTTGTAAATGTTTCTGCCTCATTTTATACATGCTCATTTGTATTCACAAACTCTAGCAATATGTGAGTTGTCCAATAGAGACTCTTCATCTTGCATGTTGTCACAAACTGTCCTCTGAGCTCCACACAGCAGGAGCAAAAAAAGATTCCAAGAAGCCTCAGTAGCCGATGAATTCGATAAAATACAAATAAACTATAGCTTAGGGGAATTATCTAATTGGTGTTGTAATCACCACCAATTTTGAAGACTAAAGACAAATCCAATCAATAGGCTAAGAAATATTTCAGAAATAATTTTCTTAAGCTCTTTTCCTGAAAACTAATTGTGTCTTTACTATTTCAGGAGGAACCTCCCTAAGGCTAATAGTTTTAGAATTATTATTGAGAGAAATTCAATAGGACGCTGCCATTGAAGTAGCAAAGCTTATCTTTGCTAGAAAGAGACTTCTTTATCCCTTTTGCTATCTAGATACACATCATATTTTAAGATGTAGACTTTATTAACGCTTCCAGTTCTTGGCCTTTGAGATCAAATTTAGGTAACTGACACTTATTGAAAGGAGGTTGATGTTTTTGTCAGTATTCCGATAACTTTTTGAAGGTTTTTCGGAATCATCTACTCCCTTCTTTGGTAAACCAGGAGTCAAGAATTTCTGCTCTTTTTTTTCTTTTCTATTGTGAAAAAGAAATAAGTTCTCTGATATGTGGGAGCTTAAGTTACCCAAACCTTCAGATGTTCCTACTGTCCATCCTGAGTTTTATCTCTTTAACCTCAACTACAGAGACTAATTCTTCTGCATGCAATATCTCTTCTACTGAGTTTCGAGCTATGTCAACATTGTTAACTACATGAAATTCAAAATATGTCTAAAATTTCTTGAAAATTAAAACATGTAACATGTGATCAGTTCTACAGCAAATCGCCATATCTTAAGGACTTTGTCCCAGTACGGTGCTGGAGTATTTGAGTATTTTAACAAAAAATCCAAACATAGTTGGAAAAAACAGGTACGTTTTTCAAACATCTTATTTCTAGTTTTATGCTTAAACATATGGAAATATTATCGTCTTGCAAATCTAGTGACAGTAACTTCTGTGTTTTCATTCGTGGAAAGGGGACTTAGGAAAATGACAAAGTTACTGAAAGCAATTACTTAGTTAATGTCCATCTGACACCTAGCAGGAATGCATTCTCCTTATTTGGCTCACTCTCCTAGCTAATAGCTTGATTTCTTCTTTATAAAGTGTCATGGAGGTGTTTTTATCAAAAGTGACTTAAATATTATACATGTTTTGCTAGAGTTAATATGCTATTTTGGCAAAATATACATAAACTTCACCATTTTAGCCATTCATAAGTGGCATTCAGTGACATTAAGGTACACCAGGGGTGCCTGGGTGGCTCAGTCAGTTTGGTGTCTGCCTTTGGCTGGGATCCCAGGGTCCTGGGATCGAACCCTGCATTGGGCTCCCTGCTTGGCAGGGAGTCTGCTTCTCTCTCTCCCTCTGCTCCTACCTCCTACTTGTGCTCTCTCTCCCACTCTCTCTCCCTGTCTCAAGTAAATGAATAAAATCTTTAAAAATAATAATACATAAAGGCACATTCACAATGTTGTACAGCCGTCACCACCATCCATCTCCAGAACTTTTCATCATCCCAAACAGAAACTCTACTCATTAAACCACTCCCCATTCCACTCTCCCCCAGTCCCTGGTAACTACCATTCTACTTTCTGTCTCTATGAATTTGACTACTTTAGATACTTCATGAAAGCAGAATCATATAATATGTGTCCTTTTGTGCCTGTCTTGTTTCATTTGGTATAATGTTTTCAAGATCTATCCATGTTGTGGCATGTGTCAGAATTTTCTTTCTCTTTAAAGGCTGAATAATATTTCATTGTGTTCACATTCCACATTTTGTTTATCCATTTGTTTGTTGATAGATATTTGGGTTGTTTCTACCTTTTAGTGGTTGTGAATTATGCTGCTTTGAGTATTGCCATATAAGCAAGTGTTCAGGTCTGATTTCAGTTATTTTAGGTATATAACAGAAGTTAAATTTCTGCACCATATGGTAATTCTGTGTTTTGTTTTTTAGAAATTGTTATACTGTTGCTCACAGTGGCTGCACCATTTTACATTCCCCTGAGCAATGTACTAGGGTTCCAGTTTTTCTACATAATTGATAGCACTTGTTTTCTGGTTTTGGTTTTTGTTTTAGAATAACCATCCTGGGGTGTGACATTGTATCCCATTGGGGTTTGGAGTTGCATTTTCCTAATGACTAGTAATATTGACTATCTTTTCATTTGTTCAATGGCCATATTTTCTTTGGAGAAATGTCTATTCAAGTCCTTTGTAGGATTAATTTTTATAACTAGCAACTACTCCTTGCCAGAGTTGTATATTAGTAATTAACTAATGGAATAATTTGGGAATGTCTTACGTATTTAAATTATGTGTTAATGCTATTATTAAGAATTCTATTGAAAATCTTTTTGAAAATGTACCCTGAGCAGGAAGGAGAAAAACAAAACCAAAGTAGTACAAATCCTGAAAGAGAGAATATAAAATTATTTTAAGTGTTAAGTAACTATTTTCTGGATGTAACATTGAAAGAGAAATAATTCATCTTTTATAAATAGATAGAAGACCAAATGGCTAGGTTACATTCTCCAAGTTGTCACTCTGTCTCCATCAAATGGCAGCAGCTAAGTACAGATGCGCCTGAGCCTCTGCAGGCTCCAGCCCAGGTGCAGTCCTTGTTCCACAATGAGCGACTCCTTGTCTATGGATTTATTCCTCATTGTACACAGGTAAGGAAGCACACAGCTCATTCTACTATGGGAAGAGCAATGTATGTTGCCAACAATTTTCTTTTTCTTTTCTTCCGTCTCCCTCCTTGTATCATAACATGCTGGCAAATTTTCTCCTTCTGGAAACCGAATGGGTAGTTAACTAGGGATACTGGGGAACATTTTAATTTCCATTAAAAGGAGAGAGAAAATCATGGTGAAACTAAGACTCTACAGAATGAAAAATTAATAAGGGATTCCACCCTCCTCCCCCATTTCAGGCAGCTCTATGTGCATTGATTCAAGAGAAAGAATTTTCTACAATAGTATCAACTAGTGAACTTCAGAAGACAACTGGAACTGTAAGATTGAAAACTTTAACTATGAACTCACTCTTTGAAAGTTGTAATAAACTTATATTTTCATACCTTTGTTGTTCTTGTTTTTCTATTTTGACCCTTCAGTGCACAGTATTTTATGGGGAACCATTGTCTGTACAAATGAGGACGCTTTCCTTCAGTTTCTGATGCAGCAGTTCTTTTTCTGGGGTTCTTGAGTCTAGGTGTATCCATATGGGCATCAGTGGATATGACTAACTGCAATTAAATTTGGTATTTTATACAGGAACACTTTTAAAGGAGGTTCTTGAAGTTGTTCATGACATGATAAAAATTAAGTACCACAGATCAACCTGTGTTATTTTGAAATATGAAGTGTAACAGTACTGGACTGAGAGTAAACATATATTGAGAATGTGTTTGTTTTTTCTACTTTCAGATTAAAAGCAAATGAATTATCACCAGAAAGTTTGTAGTATTTGCATTAGTACTTAATCTATTAGAGTCAGACCTGGAAAATGCCTAACCTATATATACTATATATATGTAGCTTTATTCATAGGAGTGTTTATTTGCCTCGCCAGGTAAACTACTTCCAAGACATTGCAGATATTTTGTCTTTTTTAAAAAATAAAATATAGCTTACTTTTTGGCCCTGAATCAATTATTATAACTTACTGTTTGCCTGTGATATATGTATAGAACTTAAGGGAATCTCCCTATTGTTTTAAAAAATTGAATCTAAGGGGGTAATTAATAATTAAAAAGGTTTTACCTGGAAAGAGGTCACTTTCCATAAAATTGAAGTTTTTATAGTTGTACTTACTCTGTGAATTATGACCTTATTGATAACAAAATTACAAGAGTTGGAATTATCATTGTAAGCAGACATTGCTATTAAAGTCAGCTGTGTTTCTTAGTTATTGGAAAGGAAGGGGGCAGTCCTTCACCTTGCACTTCCCAGGGCACATTTTGCCACTCCTGCCCTTCAGGGTGGAGGTCACATTCACAGTTAGGCATCACAGCACTAAGTGGACTTCTTCCTACAGTAGAAGAACAGTTTAAAATTTTAGAAATAAATTGAATTAGCAAAATGCCCTTTTATAGAAAAGACAAAACTATAGGCATAGAAAACAGATGAGTGGGTGTCAGGGTCTTGAGGTGACATCAAGGACCATGAGGAGTGCCCTTCACTTTTGAAATTGAAGGAACTATTCTGTATCTTTATTTCAGTGGTAGTCACAAAACCATATACATTTGTTACAACTCATCAAACTGTACACTTAAAAGGGGTGAATTTTATTGTATGTACTATTATACCTCAATTTTAAAAGTGGTTTTCTAAGTTAAGACTTTAATGAGAAGCCGTCTGAATCTTTTTTTCCCCTTTGCTGCTTCAACACAGATGATCCACAAGCTGACAGCACGAGCTCTGATCCGAGATTATGAAGACGGCATTCTCCACGAAAATGAAACGAACCATGAGGTTTGCTCTTTTCATTGTTCTCCATTGTTCTCCATTGATCTATCCATGGAACTGTAAAGTGAGGATAGCTGAATGGAGAGACATGTGGTATGGGGGCACTCATCATTGTATCTGTATTTTCTGCACCTTGGGTGCAGGGCACTCAGTAAATGTTTGTTGAATGAATTAATGAAAGAATGGATGTCATTGGTTTCCTAAGAATTCTCTGGTCATTTTCCTCATCAGGAGGAGGCCAGAGGAGGGCTCAGAGAATGTTTGCTGAGCTCCTTTCATAAATATCACCTAAGATCTCATATACTGTAGGCGTTGGTATTCTCATCTTAGTGATGAAGCAGCCCAGGTGCAAGACAGGTAGGTGACCAGCCTAAAGACACACAGTGGAGCCAAAGCCCACTCTGTGCCTTCTTCACTGACCTGATGAGGCCCCTAGGAGAGGATCCCACTCAGCCAGCCCACCTGATGACCTGGTCCCTTGGTAGCTGTGAACTTAAATGAGCTTAGGAGAAGTGGTGCTCAAAGCCCTCCCAAAAAGAAGGAACCAGAGGGCCTCCCCTGGCTGTTAGTGCAGTCATGGCAGGTAATAGATGGCCTTGTGTTTTCACTGTACTCCCTTGCTGCCCTTCGATTAGTAGCCTTGTGTTCTGTTTTACTTAAGACCTTTTTGGGTTTGGTTTTGTTTTTTAGATTTTATTTATTTATTTGAGGAAGAGAGAGAGAGAGAGAGATCACGAAAAGGGGGAAGGGTAGAGGGAGAAGCAGACACCAGGCCAAGCAGGGAGCCTGATGTGGGACTCAATCCCAGGACCCTGGATCCATGACCTGGGCTGAAGCCAAGAATCTTAACCAATTGAGGCACCCTGGTGCCCTCCTGAAGGCCTTTTTATCTGTGTGGGCAACTGACCAGCCCTTCCACCAAATAGTCTTGAAAAAGTCACTCCACATCTCCACACCTTGGATTCCCCATCTTTAAAATGGGAGGAAGAGACTGTAAAAAAATGCAGAAACCCCCCACACTTGAGAGTGAGAGTTCTTTGTAATCATAAAGAACTATATAAATATGAATTATTTTTCTATGACTTAACCAGTCACTTGATCCTATTTTTCAGAGAATGTTAAGTCATCTACTCTAGACATTTAGACAGGGCCATTGACTCAATTTAATTTGAAATACTAATTATAAAATGGTTTATTTTGTAGAAAAATACATTTGTTGGTTATTTAATACTTGCTTTATTGGTCATACATAGCTAAACAGTGAAAAATAAAATAAGACATGACTTCATTTGATTCTGTTTTAGATGAAGAAGCAAATCTTAAAATCTCTGATTATTAAACTCAGTAAAGAAAACTGTCTCATAACGCAGTTTACAAGCTTTGTTGCAGTTGAGAAGAGGGTATGTATTGTTAATTCGTGGTTATTTCATTTGTATTTACATATTAAGAAAATTACTCTTGCTCTGACTGTTACTGACAATATCCACATTCATGGCTTATGAAGAGCAGGGAGGGGAGAGGCAGGGAGGACCATGAAACCAGAGCCTCACATTCATGAAGGGCTCATTATAATCTCTCTAAATGAGTCACATATGTTATGTTTTTGATGTTATAAGTTATTACTTAGTTATATGTGTATTTATGAGATACACTATAATTTTACTACATTTGGGCATTTCTCATCTTTATTAACGCAAGACCCTCAAAAAACAAAGAGCTTGAGCTTCCCTCATCCTCTGTGAGGCCTTTTCTTTTTCGTAAGTTTAAGAGGAAAAGAGGAAAAGACCACAGAAGGCACTTACCACAGCTCCCACACCCAGCTCAATAAAGAGGAAAGCCACTCAACTGAGCATAATTTTCTTTTTAGACTCTTTCTCCCTCCCTTGTGGCCCAGAACAATCTAATCTGACACCAATACATATTTCAAACTAAGGATTCACCAGGCTTTAGAATGAATAGTAATCATTTAATTTGATAATGTCTGTTTTGTTTTTACCTAATTTTAATTCAATATAGGATGGTAAGGAGTTACCTTCTCCTAATATTCCTAATATTTGGGAACTTATTGCCAAAGAAGATGTTGATTTTCTACCATACATGAGCTGGCAGGAGGAGCAACCAGATACCAGTGCGGCACAGGTAAATGTTAATTACCAAATCAATTAATATTGTGTTTTCATATTTGTATGATTGTGAGGGGAGCCCTTTGCTTCAAATAGCACACTTATTGCTTGAATTTGCAGAAACTGTTGTCGCCCTCAAAATGGAAAATATTTGCACATTTATAAAAAAGCTGTCATATGACTGAGAGAGTCACCATACATAAATGTAGCTGTAAAATACCAAAGGGGAATAACTGTGATTTTACTTCATTCATAGACAAATAAGCTGTCATGCAAGAAACTAAAGTCACTTACTCTAAGTAATTAATAGTTCATCATGAAAGTAGTGAGAAAAGTCCTATCTGATCATCTAAATTCACCACTAATAATTCTTAAAGTTTGTAACGTGTTATATTGTGGCCTTTGTGACCAGAAATAGAATTGGAAAATGTGATTCCCATAGAAACTGAAAGGCATTTTCAAAACCAAAGGAACAAAACAGTGCTAATAAAACCCTTAGGTATCTGGCAGAATTAGCAGAATAAAATTGCCAAAATTAAGAAATTTAAAATCTAAGGAAAAATTTTGAGAGGAATTTTGGGAAAATGTAATATATGCAACATTTATTTCCTTTGATCCACTTTGAAGTTACTGTGTCAATTAAGAATATAAAAATACATTAGATATCCTTTGTTTACTTTGTTCAAAAATCATGATCTGAGATGATAAATAACAACACAGCAACAACCAAACAAAACCATAAATGTTTCCTCAAATCCTTCATTCAGAATTTTTGTTTTGTTTTATCTCACAGTTGTCTTTAAAGAAAGGAGAGAGAGATAATAACTTTTGAAAATCCTGTTTAAACTCTTTTTCTGAGTTCACTTCTCTAGGTCACACTAGAGAAAAGAGAAATTGTAGCCTCCACAGAACAGATGGGTAGTGGCAGGGCTGGGGAAATGACTGTGTCCCAACTGGCAGATAAAGAGGTAGGCAGCCTTTGGTGCACCTCCCCTGTTGTCACAAGTCCCTCCTCTTTTGGCTAAAGCAAATTCCAGGGGATCTAAAGAGCTGCACCTTTACTCTCCCTGCTCATTTTTTACTCTTCCCCTTTTGGGAGTCAGCCATTGAAGACTAGGACATTCCAAAATAACTCCTATATGGGGATAATTAAAAAATTATTGCCCATACCCAAGGAAAGGCTCAGAAAAGATGTAAGAGGACATTAAGTTTATACTTTAGGCTGATCCTTACCACAGAGACAGCCTGCAACAATTAAGAAAGGAAAAAGAATAACAAAAATACAACAAACACTAGGGAAGAGAGAGAATCTCATATCCAGATTTACCACATTTATTAGATTCAGACACTCGGTGTTCAAGGGAAAAAAATCACAAGGCATACAAAAAAAAAACAGGAAAGTATGACCCCCCCCAAAAAATGAAACAATGGAAACTGTCCCTGAAAAAGACAAAGTGGCAGATATATTAGACAAAGACTTTAACACTGTGATCTAAAAGGTGCTCAGAGAACTAGAGGAAGATGAGGAGAAAGTCAAGAAAATGATGAATGGATGAAATGGAAATATCAGTAAAGAGACAGAAGAGTTAAAAAGAAACCAAAAAGAAATTGTGGAGCTAAAAAGTACAATACTTGAAATGAAAAATTCACTAGAGGTATTCAAAGGCAGATTTGAGCAGGCAGAAGAAAGAAGCAATGAACTTGAACTTCTTCTGCTTCTTCATGACAGTATTATTATTAAAGTGTCAGTATTACCCAAAGCAATCTATAGATTCAATGTAATCTCTATCAAAAGCTCAGCAATGTTATTGCAGAAATAGAAAAATCAGGGCACCTGGGTGGCTCGGTCATTAAGCGTCCGCCTTCAGCCCAGGTCGTGGTCCCAGAGTTCTGGGATGGAGCCCCACATCGGGCTCCTTGCTCGGCAGGGAGCCTGCTTCTCCCTCTCCCATTCCCCCTGCTTGTGTTCCCTCTCTTGCTGTGTCTTTCTCTGTCAATTAAATAAATAAAATCTTTTTAAATCTTTTTTTTTAAGATTTTATTTATTTATTTGACAGAGAGAGATCACAAGTAGACAGAGAGGCAGGCAGAGAGAGAGAGGGAAGCAGGCTCCCTGCTGAGCAGAGAGCCCGATGCGGGACTAGATCCCAGGACCCTGAGATCACGACCTGAGCCAAAGGCAGTGGCTTAACCCACTGAGCCACCCAGGCGCCCAATAAATAAAATCTTAAAAAAAAAAAAAAAGAAAGAAAGAAATAGAAAAATCCATCGTGGAATTCATATGGAATCTCAAGGTACTCCAAAATAGCCAAAACAATCTTGAAAAAGAACAAAACTGGAGGGCTCACACTTACTAATTTCAAAATTTACTCCAATGATAAGTAATCAAAGCAGTGTGATACTCGTATAAAGACAGACTTTTATAAACCAATAGAATAGAATAGTGAATCCAGAAATAAACCTTAGTATATATGGTCAAGTGATTTTTGACAAACGTACCAAGATTATTCATTGGGGAAAGCATAAATGGTGCTGGAAATACTGGAGAGCCACATGCAAAAGAATGATGTTGTATCCTTACCTAATATCATATACAAAAATTAACTCAAAATGAATCTATGATCTATATATAAGGCCTAAAACAATGTAACTCCTAAAAGAAACATAGGACAAATCTTCACCCTTTGGGTTTAACAGTGATCTGTCAGGATGTGATACCAAAGGCACAAGTAACAAAAGAAAAAAGAACAGAGGAATCAGACTTCATGAAAATTTAGAAAAATTTTGTACATCAAAAGACACTATCCACAGAATAAAAAGATAACCCACAGAATGGAAGAAAATTTTTGACAGATATACCTGATAAGGGATTAATATCCAGAATGTATAGAACTCCTAAAACTCAACAACAACAAAGCAATCCAATTCAAAAATAGGGTAGGGGGTAGGCTCAATCAGTTGGGTGTCTGACTCTTGGTTTTGGCTCAGGTCACGATCTCATGTGTTGTGAGATCAAATCCTATGTCAGGCGCCATGCTCAGCAGGGAGTCCACTTGAAGATTCTTTCCCTCTGCCTCTTCCCCACTCTCTCTTTGTCTCTCTTAAATGAATAAATAAATCTTTAAAACATTTTTAAGGGACACCTGGGTGCCTCAGTGGGTTAAAGCCTCTGCCTTCGGCTCAGGTCATGATCTCAGGGTCCTGGGATCGAGCCCCCACATCAGGCTCTCTGATCAGCAGGGAGCCTGCTTCCTCCTCTCTCTCTGCCTGCCTCTCTGTCTACTTGTGATCTCTGTCTGTCAAATAAATAAATAAAATCTTCAAAAAAAAAAACATTTTTTAAAATAGGGCACAGGTCTTGAGTAGACATTTCTACAAAGAAGATATGTGAATGGTCAGTAAGCACATGAAAAGATGTTCAATAGCAATACTGGTCTTCCTCAAGAAGGAAGAAAATCTCAAATACACAACCTAAACTTACACCTAAAGGAGCTGGGAAAGGAACAGCAAACACAGCCTAAGTCCAAAAGAAAAAGGAAAATAATAAAGATTAGAGCAGAAATAAATGATATAGAAATTTTTAAAAACCCAAATCAACAAAACTAGGAGCTGGTTCTTTGAAAGAATTAACAACATTGACAAACCCCCAGCCAGACTTATCAAAAAGAAAAGAAAAAGGACCCAAATAAATAAAACCATGAATGAAAAAGACAGATCACAACCAACACCATAGAAATACAAACAATTATAAGAGAATATTATAAGCAATTATATACCAACATATAAGGCAATCTGGAAGAAATTAATAAATTTCCAGAAACATATAAACTACCAAATCTGAAACAGTAAGAAATAGAAAGTCTGAACAGACCCAAAACAAGCAAAGAAATGGAATTAGGAATCAAAAATCTCCCAACAAACAAGGGTCCGGGGTCAGATGGCTTCCCAGGGAAATTCTACCAAACATTTATTTTTTAAAAAGATTTTATTTATTTATTTATTTATTTATTTATTTATTTGAGGGAGACAGGAAGAGGGAGAGAGCAACAACCAGAAAGACTCTACCAAAAAATTGCTAGAGCTGATACAGGAATTGAGCAAAGTTGAAAGATATAAAATCAACACACAGAAGTCTGTTGCATTTCTATACACCAATAATGAAGTATCAGAAAGAGAAATCAAGGAATCAGTTCCATTTACAATTGCATCAAAAACCATAAGATACCGGGGTGCCTGGGTGGCTCAGTGGGTTAAAGCCTCTGCCTTCAGCACAGGTCATGATCCCAGGGTCCTGGGATTGAGCCCCGCATCCGGCTCTCTGCTCAGCAGGGAACCTGCTTCCCCCTCTCTCTCTGCCTGCCTCTCTGCCTACTTGTGATCTCTGTGTGTCAAATAAATAAATAAATCTTTAAAAAAACAAAAAACAAAAACAAAAAAAAAACATAAGATACCTGGGGAAAAAACCTAACCAAAGAGGTAGAAGATCTGTACTCTGAAAACTATAGAACACTAATGAGACAAATTGAGGAAAACACAAAGAAATGGAAAAAACATTCCATGTTCATGGGTTGGAAGAACAAATATTGTTAAAATGTCTATACTACCGGGGCACCTGGGTGGCTCAGTGGGTTAAAGCCTCTGCCTTCGGCTCAGGTCATGGGATTGGGATCGGGGGTCCTGGGATTGAGCCCCACATCGGGCTCTCTGCTCAGCAGGGAGCCTGCTTCCCCCCCTTCCCCGCTCTCTCTGCCTGCCTCTCTGCCTACTTGTGATTCTGTCAAATAAATAAATTAATTCTTTAAAAAAAAAAAATGTCTATGCTACCCAAAGCAATCTGCACATTCAACGCAATCCCTATCAAACTACCACCAACAGGAGGTGGATGGGGGGATGAGGTAACTGAGAGATGGGCATTAAGGAGGCCCCTTGATGTAGTGAACACTGGGTATTGTATGAAACTGATAAATCACTAAATTAGCTCTGAAACTGATAATACACTATATGTTAATTACATTG